GTACTGTGGGGTGAAATCCAAGGGATCTTCATAAAGCCTCTAGTATTTAAGCTGAGCAGAGAATGAAATGTCAGAGCCGTCTATGAAAAGACAAGTGACAAACTAAACAGAGGATAAATCAAGATATTATTTTAGAATCTGCTACCGTGAAAATTTCACATTTTCTCAAGAGGCAGAGAAGTTCTTTTCTATACTGAAACAGGAATATGGGTTTTTCTGTTAAAGACATTGGAAAGCCATTAGAAGATTCCACGGAAGTGTTATTTTGAATGCTGGTATTGTATTTTCGAACAAAGCAACACTCTTCATGTTTGTTAATGGGTTACCAATTTTTAATTATGTTGAAAGCATCAGGAAAGTTTGGGTTTGTTAGGAAGGAATGTGGGTTAATTTGATGAAGCAGGTAGATACAACTAAGTGGAAGAAAAGGAGGCAATTGGGACACGGGCTGTGGCTTAACCCCACACTGAACAGAATTTGCATATGGCTTTGGGAAAAGTTTCATAACCTTTTTTTCTGGCAAAGATGGATGTGGGAGTATGACATTTTCCAGTTGCTGATTTCTTCTGTGCTCAAGAAAGAGGACATTAGCTTGTTAAAACTTCTAAGTGAGTACAACTTCATCAACAATTTACTCTTCTAATCACAAGATCACAAATTTTGAGTAGGTTCTTAGGGTAAACAGGTAGCGAATACTAAAATTTAATTACTTTTAAAACTACAGCAGAAAATCAGAACCCTTTGGTATGCAAAACTACATTGGAAATATGTTTTTAAAAAGTTCTTAAAGAAAGAAATAACACTTCTTTCTTCCATCCTTTCAGCCTAGTATTGCTTCCATCAATCCCCTGGGTAAACAACTTACAGGAATTTTGCCTGAATCCCGTGTTTCCAAAAGCAGAATTTAGTCCAAAATAACATGGAGCAGTAAAGATAAATCTCTTGACTGTTTTCTGAGATTGTTTTGTATTATTAATCCCTATACTGGGACATACACAATTGTGAAGACATTAATCACAGTTCACTCTGTAGAGAAAAATTCAATAGGATATTTAACTCTTGATTTATACGTAAGCTTTAAGTATTTCACCTGTGTAATTCTGCACAGTCAGTAGCTTATTTCTTCTAATTAAATCTTCATTTCAGCTCTCAATGGGCCTGATTTTCCTCTTACTAACAGCAAGTTTATTAATATAACTCTCATCAATCAAATGGTAGTGTCTAAGTAAGATTAACACAAGAAATATCGAAATCAAGACCACTGACTTTGTATGACAGCTTTGCCAGTCTGTTCACGGCTAAACAGTGCTTACTGGACACTTAACAGAATTCTGGGCAGGGAAGGAAGCAATTTTTTATTTTTTAGAGACCTGTTTTGAAGGGAGAACTGGCAAGATCATGAAAAAAGGAAAAAATCCACTCAGTGAGCAAAATCAGGCAGTAAATATAGCCACGAGGACTAATCATGTTTGTCCCTTTCATATGAACTACAAACTGAAAGCTAAACTGCATGTTAAGGTAAAATATTCTGTTACACTCAAAATTGTGTTATGGGCAGAAGAATGTACACCTTACTGAGATAGTAAAAAATGTATTGCTGTTTTTTACCCGCTCTTTATTGCTTCTACCATTCACCAGGCTTAAGCCCAGGACAGGTGAGGGACTAGTCTTTTGGCTGCTGTTAAACAAGCTACAGCCACGTGAAGTAAAACCTGAGATTCTGCTTTGCCAGGTCAGCATGGAGTCTGTTGCCTTTTACTAGTAACTCAAAAATCATACATACTGGACTACAATATATGCAATCATCCCTGATTATTTTCAGCACATATAAAATAAATATGAAATTTTCATAATACAGATACATTTAAATGCTTTACTCACATGTAAGGAGATGAGACAGAAGTTTGAAAGTGACTGAAGGTGTGAAAGAAGCAGCAAGATAAATGGTATCTACCATCATTAAAGAAGAAAATAAAATGTATTTTTGCAAAACAAGATGTGATCTAGAGAAAATTGTCTAGGAACTGCTAATGCTAACATCAAATACCTGTGATTTTTTAAAAGTCGCAACAATAGAATGAAAGAGGGAATTAAGGCATGGCAGACAGTAGATATGTCTCACACTCAGGCTGAAGACAATTTTGAATTCCAAACAATGAGTGAAGAAGCTTCAGATATACAAAACCATACTACTGATTTTTTTTTTTATTTTAAATATTCCAAGAATAAAGTACTGGGATGACTTATCATTCCAATAAAGATGAAGAAGACAGATAGATCAAGAAGCTGAGAGAAGTTCATGAACAATTGAATATAGTGAAATCTCCAGTGGGCAGGACGTGAGGTTGGAAGTCTAGACTCTCCTGTTTATCTGAACTCCACTCATGCTAAGTTAGAGCTCCCTGAGTCAGTGTGTGCAGCCTGAAGGTGTTTAGGGAATATTATGACACTGAAAACCAGACAAACCACAACTCTGTTCCACACCAGTATCTTTAATGTGGAGACACACAGGAACAAACTCTGCCACCTGCACATAAGCATACAGGTCTCTCATGTAATTCCTGCCAGTCAGTACCACTATTTCTATAACCAGCAGTAGACTACACCCCTGAATAAACTGCTGATGTTCCCATGTTTACATGGAAAGCTGACATTAAAAGTTGCTAATGAAAGTAAGTTAGTAAATTATGAGAGGTTTATAGAATAAGGACTAAGAGAATTTAGCTTCCTCCAGTGAAAAGACACTATTACAGGTGACAGGCATAAGTACAGGAAAGCTATGAAATACAAAACACACCTGCGTATAGGTTATGGTCTTAGCCTAATTTTAGGCTACTTCCCAGTAGACAGAAATCTGATTATTCATATCTTACACATGCAGTTACATATAAGGCTGCACACCTGAATACAGAAAAATCTGCTTTGTCAGCTGTAAGTAAAAAGAAACAGTGAAAAAAGTGTGCATCTTTTATCTGTTCTGATCTGTTGACCACAACAGCCAGAAATCTTTGTCCCAAAGGCAGACCACTTTGACTTTACATAAACTCAGCAAGTTTATATGCTGACATCTGTTAATTCCATGCACATGAAGGGAACAAGAAGGTTGCTGTGATATTTACAGTCCAACAGCAACATTCCTTCTGCAGGCTTCCCCAGCAGATAACATATTTTGCTTTCTTATGTTCACACACACAATTCATTTCATGGGCACTGAAATGCCTGTTGCAACAAAGTAGGAACAAAGTATTGAAGTAAATCAATGTTTCCCAGGATGGCTGTGCAAATATAAATGTCCATACAATGAAAATTAACCAATAAATGCATTTTTATTATGGTAGAAATTATAATAACAAATGAAAGTACTAACTCTTTAAGATATTCAAACTGTAATATGTAGACATTGGATTATATGGAGATTAAGAACAGCAGCATAGCTATAAAAATCACTGGCTGCATGTGATTCTTGGGCTACTATGTAAACTGATCATAAAGGCTGAAAATATTTATGCTGAATAATATTCAATTCAGAATATTTCAGAAGAAAGTCAGAATATGAATACTCTGGCTTTACATCGCAATAGTTGGGGAGTTTTTGTTGTTGTGGGTGAAGTTCTGGAGAAAACAGAGTAGCAAGTTAACAGTTTTCATATGTGTTTGCTTTCCAGAATGTAAACTTAATGGAATCTGAAAATGGTTTTGTATCAAGATTTACAGTAGGCAAAATTAGTGGCAAATTGGTGAAATTTTTATTTCTCATAATATTCAGCTAATCAGCACTGAAATCTTCCTTGGACCAGAAAGGCACAAGGAAGCTCCTGAAGAAGTATCATGGGTAGCCACTTCTGTCTGTAAACTGGAATTTCAGTAGGCAGAGCTAAGGAAGAAAGAATTGAGGGTGATAAATCCATGTGCTTCCTAATTATGATGCACTAGCACCTTAGCAAATCATTCTTTTTCATGAGTATTACGAAAACATTACTTAATTCTTTCATGAGCGTATTTATATAACAAAGGCAATGAAATGCAAACTTCTGTGGGATGGATTTGTTGTGCTAAAAATTGTAATGATGGAAAGAGATATGATGTGTTTTTCATAATAACATTTTAATTTTATAAAACAGGTACATTCTGATTTTTAGTTGTTATTATTCATATTTTATTCAGTTCAATCTTTAAAAGAGTTCATTTCATTTCATTTCATTCTCAGCTCTATTTCATTAATGGGGTGAAAAGAGAAATCTCACAAAAATGTCCACTTGCCAAATGAAATGTTACTCTGCTAGTTAATGTATGTTTTCTCATTAAAGAAAAAAAAAGGTATTTTTTTCTTTTTCTTACATTTTCTCAAGTCCTTGTTTATATGACTACATAGACAATATCCTCATTCCTAGGTATACCAATATATCAATCCTGTTGATGAAGAACGAAATACCTCCACCATGAAATTAAAAAAAAATAGTAAACACAGATGATTTCAGCCAAAAAAGGCATCCCTTTTTTGGTGAACAATCTAGGTTGCCATATATGTTACTCAGAATAATCACTGTTTTTTTTCTTTATGTGGAGATAGATTCATTTGCAAGCAACCCTGTATTTTCCAACCCACAATTTTTTTTTTTTATGAGAGCTTCCTAATTATTACGAAGTAATAGGAGCAGCCTAATTATTAGGCTACTCTCAACAAGAGAGTACCCTCTTCTTTTGAAAACTATTTTTGCAGAGAAGACTGAAAGACAGATGGAAGAAAGAAAATAGGAAACAATGCTGCCTCATAGATAAGAGGTGATATGTTTTCTGGTTTTCATAACAGAATTAAGAATATTTGTGTCTTCTTTTTTAATCTAATAGTTGTTTTAATATTCTTCTACCTCTACTTAAATTAAACATACAATAAAGGATTTAATATAGTTGCAATTTAAATTTTAAATTTTGTACAACGATTGTTCTAATTTTTAGGTCCAATATCAACAAGAATTACACCAATTTAAAAAACCACTTACCTGATGAGATGTCTATTCGGTTCTTCTTCACTTGGGTGACATTGATATGGACGCTGACTTTGCCCTCATTTATGTCAATCTCAACATTCCCCAGGTCATCTGCAAAGTTGCTGAAGACAAGAAGTCCATGGGGGTTCCAGGTTCGGAAAAGGAAACTGACTGAAAACAGATCCTGGCTTGGACGACCAGGAACCTCAAGGTAACTGGTGGCATTGAAAAAGACAGGCACTGTATGTGGCTCCACACAAGAAAAACTTAAATTTCCCTAAGTAAAACACAAAAAAAAAAAGCAAAAGCATAAGCAAAACCATAAGATTCCACTAAATTCATAGCTACCTCTAGAAAAGTATTCTAGGCTTCATTCAACCTAGAGACTACTACTGTGATCGATGCAAGTCACATGTAAAAACGTGTTATTAATATTACCATTATTGTTACTATTATAATGTTCTTGCTGATGCTTCTGTTTTGTCTAGTGGTGGCCCCATTATATTTTGTACTGTACATACAATGAGAGGCACTCTTTGACTTGAAGAGGTATAGTCTAAGGTAAAGCTTAGACGAAAGCATTAATAATCCCAACTCAGAGATGAAGAAATGTATCACAGAGAAAATTTGGCTTGTTCATGGTCACCAAAGACGCCTATAACAGAGCAGTAATTCATCCTCCTATGAAAATTAAATACAGCTTTCCAAATACCCTTATAGCAAAGTGTCAATCAAAACAATACATGAGGTTGTGAAAGGAGGATGTATAATACCTGGTGTAAGAGCTAGCCTCTGTGTTATGTTTTCTACTGGATAATACTAGATAAACTAATACCTCATTTCATGAAGCAGAAGGATTTGGAGTAGCTGATCATGAATAATGCCTAATATTTGTAGTTAGTCAATAATTTTCTCTTTAAAAGAAACTGCAGTTTTCACACTGTAAAATTTTACTTTTTGGGAAATTGACAAAAATCCAGTCAACTTTATCGATTTCTGAAGCTTTAAAATGCAGACTCGAAGATGTGAATTAGGGATGTGAGTTTTTCACTCTGCGTGTCATGTCATTTCTCCCAAAAGACCACAATGGTAGGACATATTACCATTTTTTTCCTTAGAAATCATAAAGAATTTTAGCAATCTCTGTCCAGAATTGACTTTTTAATGCATCAATGCAAATGTAACAGGAAAACTTCCTCTGCTGAAGAATTACCCTAACATGGTAGAGTGGATCCTGTTCTGTGGTTAGATTTTCTGATCCCCTGTGGCAGATGGATACTCTGTGGCAATTTCCATTCAGTTTGGGAAGGAAAAATTTTATCTGATGCAATATGAAAAATATTATTACTGTGATCAAGATAGCAATTCCTTTGATATTTATTTGTACATTAAAAAAATATTAAGGATTGAACAACATTTTTGGAGGTACCTAGATGTTTAGAGGTGAGGTTTACCTAAGCAATTTTCAGAATCCTAATAAGAGTCAGTCATCATCTTTATCACATAAATATTTTTAAAATCCATGTTATAAACGTTCTGATATAAGCTTTTATGTCTCATGTTTTTGTATTCATAGTGTATAAATGCGTATGAAAGTTCGTCTTGAGGGAAGTCAGAGAATTTGGAAGGAAGATAGGAACTTTCTGTCTGTAAATATGTGGGAGGAAAGTCCTAAGTAAATTATTTTAGAAGTATTTATTTTCAATTGGAGGTAGGCTAGATGACATCAATAAGGAAGCAAGGTTTACCAACATCCAAACCTGTTACTTGTTAGAAGAACAACACATCAGAAAACACCTTATCTGTTTCATAACAAGATACCATATATGGCAGATTCAGTTCCTTGTATAGTATCTCCATGTCAAAGCTAAATGAACAAATTTAATAGTTTCTTGAGCACTCAGATCTTTAGATTACTGTGCATAACCACCTCTTTTTTCCTACAGAACGTCAGAAGTTATACTGCCACACAGTCTACCTGTAAAGGCCAATAGAACTAGTAGCAGCTAGACTATCAGGTTGGCAGCCTCCATTATCAGTTAAGTAACACAGATGTTTCCAATAATCTAGAACTAGAAAAGAGATTTTTTTATACTGATCTAAAAGTTTTGTTCTTATCTTTATGATAAAAAACATGTCCTTTTCATTTACCCATGTTCCATCGATTACAAAATATCGAAGGATTTAGAAAAATAATTAGCTAAAACAACTATAGGAAACTTTTAAATTACAGTGTGATGAGAGAAAATACAAATACTTTCTAAGTGAAGGCAAAGGACCTCATCTTATCTCCTTTGCTGCTAAGCTGCTTGGCTATTCTGGGGGTGGGGGGGGTGGTGGTATAAAAGTTGCCTAGAGATTTTAAGTTTTCAGCCAACTAAGTATTAAATCAAAATCGTTAACACATTTGTTTGAATAGTTTTAGTCTGAACATTTTCGTGTTACAGAATACTTTTGGTTAAACCACAAATTTTACATATAGGAAAAAAACCCTGGAGAGTGGCTGAAGTACCCTCTGTAACCCTTCATTAACATTCTCAATGTAATAGTCATCCTATGGATTAGAAACAATTTCTGTTACATGGTTAAGACAGTCCTGTGTAGACACAGAAAGCAACAGCATTTTGTAGGAGCTGACATCTCACAGTTCAGTTACAGATGCCAATTAAGTAGTGCTCAGAAAGCATTTTGTTAGACATTTTAAAGAGTTTCTTTGGTGCCTTGTTTCCTAGAGGAACTGACAATTTCCTCATAACAAGGAGGCTTTCATATCCAATTGACACTCTCTTGTCATCCTGATGCATGGGATACTTGCATGTATAACATCTATTAATATTAATGGTACCAACTTCATTCAAATCCTTTTTCACACCAGCAAATGCATTTATCGTGAACAGCTTAACTACATAAAAGATTTCTTGAGGAAGTAACACATAATTCTAATTTCTCTTCTAGTTAGTATTTTCGCTACTGAGCTATTCGGATTAATCCAAACTGGATTATTGATTCCCTCTATGACTAATTCACAAGATGACTCCTCTTTTAAATAAATCCCATCTGATGTAGATTGCTCGCTAAGTCTAGGTCAAGACTTTGAGCTAATCTGCAGTTTGTCTCTCTAATAGCATCCCTGTTTTCAAAGAGAAAGAGATCCTTTTCTGTAGATTCCGAGTGACTTTCTGGGCAATGACATCTGGAAGTCAAATCTATGCTGTACATTTATACAGAAAGTGTTAGTCTTACCAGAGAATTTTTCGTACTACATTGGAAGGGAAATGGTGAAAACATCTTAATTTGTGTATATTAATCTTTGGATCATGACCTTTAATCTGTGCTGCAAATTAGCTTCATGTTTACTGCTTATAAATCATTTTTGCCTATCCACATTCAGATGTTATCCCTTGTGGAAATACTACTGGGTCTTAAAACCTTTCCCAATTAATAGAGCTACTGGTTGAATATGTAGCTCCCAAAAGAGAGGTAATGAGTTTATTAAGACTATAATACCTGTTAAATTGGGATGGACTATACAGTACTTGCAATGTACTGTAACCTGATGTTTATCACGTTATTTCAGTATTTTTCACAAAATAGCTTACTACTCATCTTTGAGCTTAACATGTTTGATTAATACAAATAATTTAAATAAAACACTCATCTTAAGTTTTTATATGATTGTACTCGATACATGGCATAGGAGCTGCAGAAGTGGGTGGAACATAAACCTAGTGGATGTAAGGATGGAGGGCAGCAGTTACAGGCTTTAAAACTGGAGAAACTGTTCTGTGGAAATTAAATCCAATTAGTATTCACACTGCCTGCCCTTAATGTATCTCTGGGTAGGAAAATTTGATAAAGTGACTAAATTCCTAAACTCTCTCTAGACTTCTTGTTAGCTGCATATTCTAGTCTCTTCTTACTAGTGGTACACGGGTCAATGTTCTTCAGTTATGCAAGGTAATGAAAGTCCTACAAAGCTTGCTATATTTTAGTAGAAAACATGGAAAAGATGGACTGGAAGACTGCTTACAAGTACATTCCCTGTTTCTGTGTTAGACCCGAGTCAAGTTGTCTACAAGAGTTAACACCTACTGTGCTGGTTAGTCACTGCCAACACTTGTTTGCAACTTCATTCAGGATAAAAGCAGATACTTACACTCTGTCTCGGCTATCATTTTCTCCCCAGCTCTCCCTTTTGGGCATCTTTTATCACTTGCCTCATTTATCTTCTATGAAAACAAATCAGGCTCCACTAATAAGAATGACAATAACTGCTCCAGACCATCCATCTGACTTATTCTCCCCAAAGAACTGCTGCCATCTTATATATCACAAAGGATTGCCAAACTTTTTTCCCCCTTATTCTTATGCTCTACATCCAAAAGAAATACATTATTAAAGTCAGTGTTGGACTTTATTTAAACTTAACATACTTTTAAATAACACTTTTTAATTGTCCTTACTCTTCAATAAATTAAAGAGATGCTTGGTGGTGCTTTCTCACTCATAACACCTATGTATATGAGACCTACAATTTTTTTTACCTTTAATTTTGTTCAGAGACAAATGAAGATTATAATCTTATTATCATCATTGATTCTCTGGACCTCCTCTTTCTGTAAAATTAACTTGTTAACTCCCTCTCACTGTTTGACTTCTGAAATTCAATTATCTGCATGTAAGAATACTTTTTTCTTCTCTCACACCTCTTTAATATCCTTCTTTCCTCTGTTCCCCCCCCCCCCCCCTTTGCTTGTGTTCCACTTCATTACATTTTGTCTGTCTTGCCTCTTCAGATAATACACTGTTTAGGGCAGGATGTGCCTACTGTTATGGGGTTGTACAGGATCTCCTACAATGGAGCTTTGATCCTTGTTGGATTGCTTAAGTGCCATCATCATAAACAGGATTAACAATGAGCATAGTCTCAACTGAGTCTATTTTGCATGCTAAATCAGGCTAAAAACTAAGAGGAAAAAAGCTTTTGTACAAAACATAAAACCCATGTTGAGTTAAGTTGATTTTGCTTTTGAAGAGCTGAAGCAATTTAAGTAATTCTACTGAAAACAAAGGTCACTTCTATTTTTATAGCCATTCTCAGAGTTTAAAATCAACAGAACCATCAAATTAAACTAGCATGCCAGAGTGTCTTGATGCAGCACTAACACTGCTGAAGCTTCTTATGTGTACTTTACTTTCATGTTACAGGTAACATAATTATAAAAAACAAATAAACAAAGAAACAAACAAATAAAAAAACAGAGAGATTATTTTATATAGACCTCACAGGCTTGCTAGCTATGCCACACTTTCGAAAGGATAGGATTTGCACTACAGAAACCCCTTAAGTAACACTTCTGTTCAGAAAGAGGCTTTAGGAATATATCCTACTAACTTGCAGTGGACCCAACTGTGCAAAATAGAAAGATTGCTCCTGTACAAAGATCCTTTCCTAAATCAGGCATCAATCTTTGAAAATCATGGTTACATGACAAGCTTAAAATGCACTGCAGGCAGGAAATCAAAGGCAATTTTGGGAAAAAAAAAAAATTAAAAAATTTAGTAGTAGTAGTAGTGTAGTCTTCCTTCACGGCATATATATCATGGTCTTTGCCTTTGACAATACTGAAGAAATTTCTGTATAGAAAAGGTTCTAAAAATCAGGCTGTATTACTGAGTTTGGATAGGCAAATATCACATATTTAGAATTATCCTTTGTATTACCTTGACCCTTTAGCTGTATTGTTCATACAATTACATGGAACTTCAGTATTACTATCCAAGGAGTAATCAAATAGTAATGAATTCTCTGCTCTTCACCATCACTGCACATGTAATGCTTTAGTTTTATTAAATAAAAGAGAAAAGCAACAGTGGAACCATACACATTGTTAGCAGGACTTTGTGAAGGCTGTGAACTTATACAGAACAAACCCTTGAACAAGTTATTTGGACCATCTAAAACCCATGGCAATAATACATTTATTTCTTTCCCACATTGCCTTTGTATCCCAGAAAGTAATTTTAGGAACATTTAGAGCCTTTAAAATATGGTAATTAAAGCACATTCTTTCTTAATGACCCTGCCCATAAAGCTGCAAGTCTGAACATGGAAGTAACTATCAATGTTTAAGCAAGAGAAAAAAATAGAACAAAATGTTAATAATGGTAATAAGCTAAATAATGATTTTCAAGTCTAGTATCTTGAGGCTTTTCAGAGCTACCAGAAAGGCCTACAGAAGCATTCCCTTCCAATAACTTTTGCACTCCAGCAATCCAACTAGCTCTGCAGGGATGGAAGACACCAGGATTTAAAGCCACAAGAAAGCTGCAATTAATTTAATAATAACTCCTGTCTGCACTGGTTTTGGAGTACTATAATTTGGGAGGAAAGGAAAGAAGTACTTATTGGTTCAGCTGATTTTCTTTTAAAATTTTCTGATACTGAAGGTTAATTTTGGAAAGATGAAACAGGACCCCAGAAGTAAAATGCTCAGACATATTTGGGTGATAGAATTTGGTTTGTGTTCTATATCATTCCAGCATATCACAAGGATATCAGCTACACACACTCACAAACCTTCTAGCTTCCTTTAGAAGGAGAAGCAGAAGTTTAGATGACCATGAAATTATGCTCTTACCACATTAGAAGGTTCCAGTTTCTTCCTCTTGGCAAGGTCAGTGATATTATTGCCATTGTAGTTGATGCTCTCCATGCAGCCTTTGAAATTCTTCCTACTGTTAGAACTTGGCTTCCCAGAAAAAGGCATGCCTCCAAAGGTTATCTTTGAATGAAACAGAAAATGGTGGAGAGTTACTGGAGGGCAAAACTTCTAAACAAATTTGCTGTAGATGTATTTGCTTTCTTTGAACACTCAAACATGGTGAATGAGAGAGCTGGCAACACTGCTTACAGAAAAAGGAAGTATCAAATAAGCACTGCAAAAGCAGAAAAAAATATGTAACTAATTTGTGATTGCAAATATTTATGGTAGTAAATCCCAAGTATTATTACAATTGTCCAAATAGTGAGCAGACACACATCACAGTTGTTTATATATAGACTGCTCTTCTGATTGCTACTCAACAATATGTATTTCAAACAAAGAACATGGACTAAATGTCCATCCCAGTATTTTTCTAAACAAGACTAGACATGAAGTTAGCTGAATAATCTGATTCTAATCATTCAGTCAGCTCTAACTGTGTGCCAGAGCTCAGACTATAAGACAGGAGCCGTGGGCTCCAATATGATACGTTTGTTTCCTTTAATGTTTATATATCTACTTCATCTGGAAGAATTTTGCAGAATCACATAGTTAAAGATGCTATCCCCTGTTAGACAGAAGCACTTCCACTACTGAGAACATGTTTTTATCGTGTAGTTATAGCAAATGAGGAGTTATTGCATGACTTAGCAGGCCAAATCAGCTCCATAGAGATGAAGACAACCCCTGCAGAGACACAGCCATCAAGGTCAAACAGGAATTGTTTTTCTCTTCATGCTGAATTTAATCACCTTAGAACACTGGGTTATCCAGAATCTCTAGTACTAAAAAATGAAGAAAAACAAATATTTTATGAACTAAAAATGTTTATCTCTTATGAAGTCTCTCCCTGTCACTCCAAAGAGACTATACAGGTCTCTGCTGCATCAGGATCTTTTCTGACATGTTTGGAAGTGAATAAATGCAACGCGTTTTCATTAATATTTCGCAGCCCAACTGTGAAGAATAAGGGACTCATGAGATTAGTCCCTGCAATCTATGCTAAGTATTTATATCCAATAGATGATGGCATAAATAGTAATGACACCTAGCTTCCCTGCCCACAAATGCTCACAAAAATGTCTACTTGTAGTCTGCTGCTGAGATTTGGCAGACCCAAGCTTTTAAATATCATTCATTGTTAATTCCATTTGTTATTACTGAGAGCAGGAAAACGCAGCTCTAGGGACATATTTTCCATTTTAAAATCATGTAAGATATCACTTTCTATCCCAAATAGGAGGCTTTGACTTGGCACATAAGAAGAACTAAAGCTATACAGCTGAAAACCAAAATCTTTATAAATAGCACATACCAGCTGTGTCAAAGTGTTTTGTGGGACATATCCTCAGGTATTATAAATTTGCATGACTTGACTTTAGAGAAAATACAGCACTTTACGTGAACTGAAGAATGTGAATGTAGTATTTTAATGGCTGTCAACCATTCTTTTCCATGTTATGGTCATGTGGTTGGGTAAGAGGAAATGGGAAGGAAAGCATTTTGAAGAAAAGGAGAAAAATTGCAAAAAACACATACCATGACAATGAGTTAAGAGGAACTCATAGGGTTGGGGGTTTTTTTATCTTGGAAATGAAATCAGAACTAATGTTTATTCCTCTTTTTTGCTTACTTAACTTTTCTGAAAGAGGTTAACCTAGAAACTATTTTTTCTGTGAAAAATAGTTTTGATTCTTTGAGGTTTATCCACTGTGATTAATTTATTACAAGGTCAACACATTTAAATTTAGTCTGTGATGACTAACTTCAAAACCAGTGAGATAACTGAGATGAAAGGAAGAAGAGGTTAAGGCACTTGCATTTATATGAACCACAGAAACATGTATGCATCCACACTCAAATAAGTTCCATTAAACACAAGGGGATCCATGTACATGGAGACTGAAATGTATCTTTGAGAACTGCCAAAGAGGTTTCTAATGTCAGAGAAGAGAGGAAGGTGAATCTCCTGGATTCTGCTCTTACTAGGGGTAAATTTATTATATACAACATATTTGTTATGTAAACGTGCTACATATATAAATATATGTATATATATTAATAAATTGCTCAACCCTGGCTTCAGCCTAACTTTTTCTGTAGTTCACTTACTTGAAAATATTTAATAAAATCTATGTATATGTGTTTTCAGTAGCTCAATTCAGATCTTTAGTGCCCAATGAGCAATAGAGATACAGGCAAATTTGCTCGTTATTTTCTCATCATAACTGCTACCAAAGAAGGAATTAATGAAAATTTGTTGGAGTATAAGTAAATATCTGATTCAGTAATATTTATAACTGTAAGTAATTTTTTTCAAACATTTATATCATATTCTTGATCAAAAGATTGGTTGTAAAAATTTCAATACACAAGTTAATTCAAACTTTTCTGCATTACATAATTTTGATTCCCTCTCACAGCTTAAAAAGTTGTAAGGATGGAAATACATGTATTTAGCTCAGCCAATCACATTAATTCTTCTTAGAAACAGTGCAAGAATATCAAAGTTTGTAATAACCAATGTGCTGAAGTTCATATAACAATTTAGAGGAACTGAACAAGTTCGTAATAGCAGAAGCCAGAGTGTAATCAAACAACAAATGCAAGTTTAATTACTACCAATACTTGTGTGCATTAACCTGACTGATTAAACAAAGTTTTCTTAGAACATTCCTAACTCCTTATTGCTTCTTTATAAAAAAGTTATTGATGGCATATTCGTGGAAATGCAAGGAAGTAGCTACCTACATAAGACAAGAAAGATCAAGATCCATATTAGTAAAAAGGTTCTAATCTGCTTGCTTTGCTAAAAATAAATACTGAATGTCAGCACAGAATGAGGCTTTCTGATTCAAGTGCAAAATTACCACTTGAATGGAATAACAGATTGTAAGATACTTCTTTTAATCTACTTCCTGCTTACAACAGCTGCTTTTAGAGATTTTAAAAGTAGTGTATGTTTAGCTTGCTGAGTAACATAGATCTCCCATTTTACAACAAAAGGCCGAGATGACTCTTACCCCAGATGGGATCTGGTAGAATAATGAAGAGAAACTTAATTTACACTTAAGAGAGAATAGTGTTGGAAAGAGAATTTCAGGAAATGTAAAGGAAAAAAAAATTAAAACAAATGTACAAAAGTACCAAAAGCTCTTAAATTTTACTAGTTTTCTGTTCTTACTGGGCTTATCTTTGTAAAGCCAGTTTTAATGGAAACAAGCAAGTTTCACTGACTACCTCATAATCCAGGTCCAGGTAATCAAATTCTCCATTGGTTCTGAAGTGCTGCATGTGTCTGTCCAGGGTGAGATTGATGTTTCTCCCATGACGCTCTATGACAACGGAGTGCCAGTGGTGATCATCCAAGAGGCTGCCTGTCATCACAGATGTGTGGCCATAAATAGAGCCAAGCTGGTTGCTGCCTAAAATGAGAAGAGAAACAATAGCAATTCTCGCCTCACACCAGTTAGGCAAACATTTTACTCTTGCTTTGTCAATATTTCACTTGAATGATACCAAACACACAATAAGCTGGAGGAATTCAGTCCGCTATGAAGCTAAGATCTGCCCAGTGGTGTGTTGCCACCATAAATACAAATAGCTAGACCAAATACAGCAAGTATCTGATCAGTTAACTGTATAAACAGTTATTTGTAATAGTAGTGATGTGGAGGCAAACAAGAGAAGCAATACCAACTTTCAGCTGTAAAGGTGTTTTCAGCTAGGGGTATTCTGTGGTTTTATCTCTACACTACAGAAATGAAAAGCTGTCACCTTTGGGTCAGGTCCTGAGTTTCCCTGGAAGTGTACTGATTTATGACTGTTCAGGAAGACATGATGCCTGATAACAGATTTCAGTAACAAAAAGCCTTTTCAGTCTGAGTTCTACACTTTGTAGGCTCTTGCCAGTATAGCTATACCAGTGAGCATACAGGAAAAGGCTCAAAGCAGACTGACCTAACAGCAGCAAAAAACATCTTCTAACATAGCTTATTTCAGTCTTTCCTCCTGCAGCAACCTTCCTATTCTGGAAGTCAAACTACTAGCAAGATTATACTTTTGCAATTCTCTGCTGTGTTTTCCAGCAGCTTTTGCCAGTGCAGCTACTCTAGACAGAGATCACATCTCATTGCAATCTGACTGACATAGCTAAGACAGAAAAGGTTGATATCATGGATCTCAACTGAAGCAGCAAATGACTAATTCAGCAGTAAGTTTAAAAAATTGCTACACTGCCCAATAACTCAGTGCAATCTTCCATGTTCTGAATATATGAGGACCTAAAGCATTTCTGGAGCTGAGAATTTCTTACCATCAAGCATGCCTGCAACTCAGACATTAACGTTTGTGCATGTTGATAAGATACTCTGGCAAATCACACTTCCATGGTTTAAGACGTTACTCCCCTACAAATGACCATACTGCCTTTTTGCTGAAGGCCACTGATCCTTCAACAGCTGTTGGTTAAAAAAAACACCCCAAACAACCAAATTCCATGCATGTCCATGAGCCTCAGTTTCTTCCATGCAAAGTCAAATCCAGTGCAAAACGAAATCTAAATCTACCCTCGTCTTGCCATCCTCCCCCTGACACGATAAATTGAAACTAAGTCTTTTGATTTCACCAGGCAAAACGAACATCCTTTTCAAGTGACTCTGATCCAAAGACAATACTCTCAGGCAGAGGAAGAATAACACCATAAATCATTACTTCTGTTTATTAACTGAGCGTGTGTCACAGGGTCTATCAGCCTAGATTTAAGGACATCCCCACCAAGCACATATATGGAATTTATAATAACTTATACAGACTGAACTGAAGAATAAGGAGAAACTGGAAATGAATGGATAAATACTGAAATTAAAATTGTTAAAAATAGATAACTGCTATAGTAAGATGTGCTTTCCTCCTCATCATCTGCTTAAGTTGATCTTTAGAAAAAGAGCAGGAGAAAATGGTAGTGGAAATAATTACAATTCAATGTAAATAATGAATTTGCTCTTTACATGTCTCTAAGAGAACTGAGGAAAGTTACATGAAACCTTTTTCTAAAACTCTTTTGTTTGAAAGGAAAAAATTACCTGAGACCAGATAAATGTGTGGGTTTTTTCATAATAAATGTACTTTATAAATCTGCTCATTCACAAGCTTGTAGTCTTTCACTGGGAGGGAAAAAGGAGGCTGGAATTACAGTAAGAAATACAGGATTACATCGTAAGATTGCCTGATAAACCAGTATGTCTTCTTTCCTTTCCTAATCCTACTTCTCAGATTCTAGGATGGCTGCCGAACCTCAACTTCCTGTGACCTGTAGCTTCCCAGATTGATACCTTTTTTGCTGCAACGTTCCTAAGGGTGACCTTTATTCTTCTAGCACTGATGACAGTGTCCTTCTCTCACACAAAGCCACAGCTAATGCCAAATATAATTCTAGCAAAGCTTTTTTAGTTTGTGGCAAGTTTCTAATGAAAATATATTGCTGATCCTGTTTTCCTGTATGATCTAATTTTCACGGTATCTCAGACAGAGTAAAAAAGAAAGAATGGAACAGAAAAAAGAAACATATAGAAAGGGAATTAACAACATTTTCACCAAATTATATCATTAAATGATGTGGCTTACCATATTATCTGGGAAAAAAGGATGTAATATTTGACCTAAAATCCTCGTGGGAGTAAGAAGCACACAAAACTAAACAATCAAAGCGTACCTAAATTTAAATTTAGAACAAGTTTGGCTTTCTTCAGTTCCAAGGTGATATAGTCTCCTTGCTGTCCTTCTCCATGGAAGATTACACCTTCACTTTCAGAGGTCTTAAATTTCAGAGAGATGACATCTTTCAGTGTTTTCATTTTCTTGTTCCTGAATCTGTATGGTAACACTACATGGCCATCAAAATTGATAACATCAGCCCCTAAAGGAAAAAGCAAATAACACTGTTGATGAGAAATTATATATTCCTGTGGCCACAGGAAAAACAGACATGCCATATGTAGATTGTACCTGAACAGAATAAAAAAAATGTGCAAGTGTGATATGCATTGTAAATATGTTTTCTTTTGACCATAATTTAGTATTATAAAAAGTAGGAACCAGGCAGGACATAAATTTAATCCATAGGATATATAAAAAAAACAGATTCAAGGGGACAAATGCTACAATCTTTTGGTTTCTCTGAAATATAGTTGCTGCCATGCACACTTTCCTAAATATAGTTGAAAATGAAAGACAAACTTTTGAGTGGTCATTAATCATTCATTTATACCTCTTTAAAATCCAGTACCGTTATCTCTGAGGACTGTAAACAGCAAATCATGAGCCCAAAGAAATTGCCTAGCATTTTTAAAAGATTCCTCAGACTGTATGTAAACCATAGGCCTAAGCCTTGTCTAGTCCAGTTTTATATGGAAATTTTGTGTAAGTTGTGACCTCAACTGAGTTTGAGAAGAAAAATAAGTTCTGTCATTTGGGCTAATTTTTGTTCCAGACTTGGTTTTATTCAAAATCTGGGAAGAAAATTGAGGGATCCAATCATTATTACTTAAAGTCAATCCAATATTCATATAAATGTTGCATAATGACACTATAAAATTTCATGTTGTCTCATATTGACTGTTTTGGTTTATCCCCCGCCAGCAACTAAGCACCACGCAGCCGCTCACTCACTCCCCCTTCCAGTGGGATGGGGGAGACAATTGGGTTGAGATAAGAACAGTTTAATAATGGAAATAAAATGAAGTAAAATAGCAGTAGTAATAACAATACTATTAATAATAATAATATACAAAGGAAGTGATGCACAATGCAATTGCTCACCACCTGCTGACCAATGCCCAGCCTGTCTCTGGGCAGTGATTGCAGTCCTCCCCCTCCGGCTCTCCTCCCCAGCCAACTCCCCCCGAGCATGACATCATACGGTCTGGAATACCCCTTTGACCAGTTTGGGTCAGCTGCCCTGTCTGTGTCCTCTCCCAGCTTCTTGCATACCTGGCAGAGCATAGGAAGCTGAAAAAAGGCCTTGACTGGTGTAAGCACTACTTAACAACAACTAAATTGTCAGTGTGTTATCAGCATTCTTCTCATCCTAAATCTAAACCACAGCACTATGCTAGGAAGAAAATTAACTCTATCCCAGATGAAACCAGGACATCTCTACTCTAAAGAATGAGCCACAATTTTCTGGAGGCTAGATCCACAGTAAAAATAGCCACATAACTTGATTCCATTTAACAGATACACTTCTACTGAGTATTGAATCTTGTCTTTTAAGCAGAGCTGAGTAACAGACTGTAAACAGATACTGACCTCTAAAAATTTATACATATTTGTTTAAGAAATCCCCTTCATAAACTGCTTAACTATGATCAGTCACCAGTGCCTTAGCTACTATTTGTATGAGCATTTCATCCTCACTATTCACAACTGACAAATTAAATAGTTATTGAGTAAAATTCTTAAAAAGGAGTTAATGACAAAATGTTGATTTTTTTAAAAGAAAAAAGTATTTCCCACCCATATTCTTCAAAACCATTCACACTTCTTATTGGCATACGTCACACTTCTTATTGGCATACTATACTCATACCAGTCATTTCGTGCTCTGAATGAAATGAAAGATGGCATTTTACCATATATTCTTGAACCATTTCTGATTTTTGCCTACTTTTGTGGGATGCTCTTCAGAGACAGCTTGCGACTTTTTAAAATTCCTAATTTGTTTTTTATATTATTCTGGGAAGTAATTTAAAACTTACAGACCCCCTCAAAAACACAGAAACAAACCCACCGCTGTTGTGTAACTTACACAGAAGAATCTTTTAAAACCCTGTTAAAACACTTTGTACACTATGCCTAAATAACTGCATATATTCCAGTTTGAATTTGTATGGTATACATTAGCTGATTATGTTAGAACCCGTTGCCTTTGTTCTTACATGTCGAGCACACATTTCAAAAATGCTTACTTTCAACTAATCTCTGAAATAATATACCCTGGTTCAGAGAAGAGTCTAAACGAACATCTACATCCATCCTTGTCTTGAGAATTTAGGAACCATCAAAATGGTCTGATGAGTCAGTTTTTACTACTGTTGTGTCCTCAATTGCTATGAAAGAATTGCTTATGTATAGCATATATATAGGTTGATTTTTCACATTCTATTATCTCCAGAAGTACTGAAGTACTTTTCACAGTGATACAAGAGCTATTTGAGTGTCAAAGAAGAACATTCAATCAAGCTTCATGATGTTGAGCATTTATTTTCAAGAGGAAAGTATGTAAACCCACAATCAATATTTCATAAATTATTTCTATTTCATTGTTCAGTCAAAAAATCCACAAGCCATCTTGTATTCATTAACTAAAACACACCCAATTGAGAATGAGGCTTGCAGTCATGTTGGTTAAATGCCTGTTTATACATCCTTACATCACTGAGCATAACAAGTTTTCAAATATGAAGACCAACATATTATGCTTCCATCATTCAGGATTTTCCCCACAAATCACTTGTGTAATAAATAGTTCTCTACTACTTCCAGGTCATTTGTTTTGCTGACACAATGATTTTCTGCATGCTGATGAAGTATGTGATATCTGTTTTAAAGATAAGTAATGTTTTCTGCAAACCAGCGTCAAGTGTATGTATTTCAGAGTCTACCTGAGATCAAAATGTAAGACATGCTGTCTCATACTCACTTGTAGTCACACATTGGCTCAGACACAAAAAGGCCACTAGTATTAAAGAGAGGAGCATTTAAGCATGTCCAAAAAAGCTGTGTTAAACCTGGCAAGTAAGTCTAATCACTCTGCTTAACCTTTCAAGTTAGATCAGAAAATTCATTCAAATAAACTTTCTTTCTTACTCAAAACAGCCAAAGACTCCACAAAATCCTTCCTATGGGAGTCAAAAAGATCTAGAAGACTGAGGACATAGATTCTATAATGCAAGTTTCCTCATGTCTCCGTAAGATATTGTCCCTCTCCTTTCTAAAAGATTAATCTGAAATGCATTTCTGTTTCACACTAGTTTTTGAACATATTTGAATCAGTAGTAGGTAACTGTCATTAAACAGGTGGGTTGTAGTCACTGAAAGATTTGAAGGCTTTTTCCAATGGCAAAGGGGTTTGTTTGTTTCTTTTTTAATGCGCAGACTTTTTAACAGATCACATTGACCCATTACCATGTCTGCGGAAAGGAGGTCAAAAGGAAGAACGTTAAATTTCTGTATTTTTCATTCTAACCACTCCTTCAGATTATGTAGAATCATATGCTGAGGCTTCCACAGCATTCTCTCACCCTTAATTACCAGGCTAGAAATAACCTGTGCCACGTATACCTTCCATTCCTGCCATTACTTACAACACTTAACTGGAAGAACCAGTTCTAGACTCTTCTGGTTAGAAAGAGGAGAGGCAGGTAGACAGAGATGTTATTTGCACAATAATCATGCAGTGCCTGTTTATCTCTGCTTCTGAACAGACAATGGACTAGGACACTTGGACCCAGTGGTCTCAGATTTGTTATTAGCAGTGGAACTCTGCAATGAAACAGATTACAACCATCTAACTTGAACCTATCCCCAAAATATTCCTAAGGATTTTTGATGAAATTATAAACTTTGACCCACTCATTGTTTATACCAACTAAACAGCAAAGAACTTTTATTCAATGCATAAAACATAAGCATCACAAACTGACTGCAATATTCCATATTTATTAGTATATAATATATATCTCATGTATATCATAATGCAGCAATATATATTAGAAATATCACTGTTGTTCATAAAACACACCTTAAAATACACATTCCAATAATAAATACTTATTAAGCTCTAAGTACAACTACAACTCTCAGCCTGATCCAGTTCTTCTGAATGACAAATTCCAGGAATGTGAATCAGCTCAAAATTAAATATCAGAATGGCATGTTGTATTTGTGGTGCAAGAAATCCATTAAAAGTTATCAGCATTCAAGGAGGACACATTTTCTCAGGCACAGATGCAGATGTTGCATTCAGAAATGAGGCCACCCTGGTTCATATTCTGAGTCTGTATTCAGAAGTAACAGTATGTGATTTCAGAGGTGGGGTTATCTTGTATACACTCACAACTCAAGTAAATACATTACTTCTGGAATTTGTTTTAAAGAAACAAAGAAAATAGTTGGAAAAATATTGTAACAGAGATTGTATCAACTTGTTCTTTTTGCTTGCTTTACAAGCTGTCAAGAGATCCAAGAAATGCCTTCTTAAGATTTTTGTTTGTACTTTTAGAAAAGAACTTTTAGAAAAGCATGAAATCTGTTTATAGAAAAAATATCTACATGAAAGTCACTCTATTATCACAAAAATCTTACTTCTACGTAAAGCAAATTTGCTACACAGATTATATTCTTTTGAATCTACACACACTGCCTCGAACAAAGGCTACAAGTCAAAGAAAATTGATAGGCATTATAGCTTAAGCAACCTTCATAACAAATACACATCACAAAAATATCATTCCCTATACAGTGTCAGAGATTCTATTCCATTAAAATTTGTTAAATTTACTTTCCGATGGTTATAGGAATCCCTACATGGGGTATATCATCTTCCCCCTAAGGCTAGCTGGTACCACTTTGTAACATCTGCAAAAATTACTTTAACAGTCAGGCATCTGATCCAGAGCTGATCAGGACAATTACTTGACTTCTGTGGGTTTGTGGATTCACAACATGTTGCCCATGAAAAGGCAAGTATCCTTCTGTACCTATGCCATTGATGCAATTATGCATACATTTTCTTCACACCATTCATTGAAGCAAATTCACATCACACACTTTAACAAAGCTGAGTAAAAATAGCATATTTTTCCAAAACCTGGCCCTGGAATTGCCATTTTTTGGAAATCATTCAGTGAAAAGAAG